CCTGCCAAGGCCTCCTAAAGTGCTTAGGATTACAGACAGGCGTGAGCTACTGTGCTTGGATTGTAGAGTGTTTCTTGAAAGGTGATCTGCTTCAGAAGGTTGTAAGAGTGTGGTGGGTTGAATGGTGGTCCCCCAAATGAAACGTTCACCTCCTCATCACTCGGATCTATAGATGTTACTTTATTTGGAAAAAGAGTCTTTGTAGATCAAATTAAGCTTAAGGTTTTAAGATGATGAGACTAGCCTGGGTTATCTGGGTGGATCCTAAATCCAATGACAAGCACCCTTGTAAGAGACACACACAGGAGAAGGCAATATGTATGAGAGAAGGCAATATGTATGACCACAAGCCTAGGAATGCTGGGGCAGTTACCAGAAGCTGGAAGAGGCAAGGAATAGATTCTCTCCTACAGTCCCCAGAGGGAACACAGTCCTGCCAATAATTTAATTTTGGACTTCTAGCCTCCAGAACTGTGAGAGAATAAATTTTTGCTGTTTTAAACTACCAAATTTGTGGTATTCATTACAAAAGCCTCAGGAAATGAAGACAGAGAGTTAAATCAAGTAATATACATGAAAATATCCAGCACATTTTAGGGCTGTGAGATTGTTGAATCAAAATCTCAAGGCTAAAAGCAATGTAGGGCAAGACTAAGGCCAAGGCCATGGTGTTTCTTACAGACCCTGCTGGGAAGTAACAGAGTTCCACATCTCTCACATCATTAAACAGAGAGAACATCCATCATTTTGTGGGGCAAATGTTTAACCTGAAGCCACATGAGAGGGATCATAACATAAAATTCCCTCATGACTATTTTGAAATTTCTTTCTCAATTCTTCATTTTACTGTGAGATCCAAAGTCATATTAACTTTTAGTTTTTTCACAAGGACTTGTGATTTTATAAATACAGTATATATAAATCCTGTCATGATCTACAGCTGCTTGAGCTATTTACTTTGGTAGTTACCTTTCCTGTCAGATTCAAAATATTGTTTGACTTGACAAGAGAGGCAACTGTTTACCTACTTCTGGTATCATTAACTGTCAAGGCTTAAGAATAAAATTACTCAGAACATAGTCATTTTCAAAGATCACTATAATTCAGGAATCACACCTGTTTATATATACAATTTTTATTTTCAAAGCTTGGTCTGTGCTTTTTTTTTTTTTTTCTTTGGATAGTATCTCGCTTTGTTGCCTGGGCTAGAGTACAGTGGCAACATCATGGCTCACTGCAACCTCAAACTCCTGGGCACAAGCAATCCACTTGCCCCAGCCTCCTGAGTAGCTAGGACTACAGGTATGTGCCACCACACCCAGCTAGTTTAAAAATTTTTTTGTATAGATGGAGTCTCAATATGTTGCCCAGGCTGTTATCAAACTCCTGGCCTCAAGCACCTTTTTTGGTTTTAATATGGCTGACAATTTAGGGTGGAAAAATCCTGAATGTCTACTTGAACTTTTTACCATGAAAAAATTCAATATTATTTGTCAAGAGCCTGAAAAAAATATTCTTTGATAAGTAATTACACTTATGAGATGACATTCCAAAAACGTACTTAAAGATTCCAACATTTTTTGTAACCCAGTTTTGCTATAGACATCCTGCTCCTTAAGACCTAAATAGGATTGATTAAAGAAAATCTCAATTTTATGAATTAAATAAAGGTAATATCCTCCCCAAGATTTCTGCACATTCCCAGAGTGCTTGTGTTCTTATGGTCAGCTTTGGTCCTCCATGCCTACTGATTCATTCTGCATAGGGATCCTATTGTCTTAAATCCATTGTTGCTGTTCTATACAACACTTGCCAGAATTAACACTCAGATATTTTAAAAATATTTTTATAAATGCCACCCCTATGACCTACATGTGCACATGGAAGACTGTGGAAGATATAGACAAATAAAGGGGAATGGATTTATAACACAGAAACACAACTTTCAATTAAGTATCAGACATATCTATTCTTAAAAGTGTCAGTCATCCCCATCACTAGGGAATTTTTATTAGTAGATTGTATTTGTTTACTGTTCTCTCTTCTCTCCATGTTCTTGCCATGCTACTCTGTGGGTGGGAATATTCTTCCCCACTCCACTGATTTAATTTGGCCAGTGGAATATATGTGGAAATTATAGTATGCCAGTTCCAAACTAAGGCTTTAGAGGCATGCCAAGTCTCCACAAACCCTCTCTTGTGTTCCTCCTATTTGCCCAGAGAAGACCATGTTCCAGTTTAACTACCTCCTTTATTGCTTTGGCTCTAGATTGCATGCATGCTCGAAGGATGTGGCTCTCCTCCTATCAAGTTACCAAACTATTTTATTAAACAAAAGTAATTCCAATATTCTCCCAACTCAATCCATAATGTAGTTAACATGTTATTTTTATCCTACTTAATTTAAATGGGAAAACAATTGGAAATAAGTCATTTTAAGTCACCAGTTATATTAGGTCTGTATAATATAATGTTATACAGCAATTAAAATTACATTATAGATGGCTTAAAATTATTGGGGAAGAGAATGCTCATTTAATTCAATGTAATTTAATTAAAGATTTGCTCCAAAAATGATTTAAAGTGGTAGGGCCTATAGGGCTGTATAAAAAAAGAAATATCAAAAAAGATATACAATAGAAGTACATAAATTACCTGAACACTATTGGTTGCCTATTCATTGATACCATCTCCTCCCTTCCTCTTTTCTAACAGAAACAGCAACATAGCAACGATAGTCAATAATGTTCAAAATACTGTCTCTGTTTCATTTGTATGGCTATATGAGACTTCTCAGATCTGTTGGGACTAAAGGAAATTATACTCAGAAAGGGAAATATTAAAACTGTACGGTAAACCTGTCATTATAATCCAAAGGAAAAACACAAATAAATATTAAAACCTTTACACATTGTTCTCATGACTCTGTTCATAGCACCGCACCAGGTTTTCAGGTCTTTTCAGGTTCTACATTTTTCTCCTAGGTTATCTCTCTCTTTTAAATTCTCTATTTATTTCCTCCATCCTCCTATGCCTCCCCACCATCCATTCTCTGTCCTTTTCTGTTGTGCTTAGTGTCCTGGAAGACTGAAAGTCAGATACTGTATATGCAGGGCCATTCCTGGTTAGCCAGAGACTTGGCAAGTTCAAGAGTGGAAGATTTGTGACAAGTCCTAGGGAATTGGTATGGGTGAAAATATTTATTCTTCTTGTTCATGCCCACCAGAGGGCACTGACTCTAGAAGAGGGTCTCAAAAATCATCGTGATTCAACCTGTGGATGTTAGCCAGCCAGCCTCTTTCCCTAGCTCCTCAGTGCTTGCTCAACCAAGTTATGAACAAAGTGGCTATAATGGTAGGGATAGAGACTATGCATGAGCTCTACAATATAGACTTTCTCTCACCAAAGCTGATCTGGCCACTGATGTATGTCCAACCCGCCAACACTGAGCCCCTGAGACCAACATTGAGCCCCTGATATGGTATCATTCCCTGAGAGTACCAGACACTTCTTGGTGCCAGGTTTATTGCACTACAAATAAGTAAGCTATACTTTTCTGTAACAAACTGTTGGGAGACATGCTGGCATTTCTGAGCAAAAGGCATCAACAGCTTTTCTTGAGGATGTTTGCAAAGCTACTTAGGAGCAGGGAGCAGATTTACTTACATTCCAGAGTAATAAAGCTAATATCAATTCCTGGAGACATTATAGGGTGATAAAAAATGTCTCCCATGTGTTGGAAGGCAGATTTGTTTCCTGACCAGTATAATAAAGTCTCTTCCCAGAGGAAAGGTTTGTTAGCAATCCTCTTTTAAGATTGGGAGTTTTGTAAGCTCAGTGTGCATGGATGGCATTCACCTACATTGCTGCCACGGTGCATGGGGGGAGGGGAGAATTGATCCCAAGTTGAAGTTCAGGCCATCTGCTATGCTGTGAATAATAAACTATCTAAATTTATTTGGGTTTGTTGACTCCTTACCAGTTGAATCTATGAAGTGTGGCAAGTCAATTTTGCAGCTTAGATACTGTCTGACCATGTGACAATCCCTGACCCCTCCTCCCAAATGTAATGCCTTAAGACTATAACCATTAATTATTTCTCATAAGCCTACAGACTTAGGCTCAGAGTGAGCCACTCTGGTGTCAGCTGGCTCACTCATACTTCTGTAGTCAGCTGGTGGATCAGCTGAGATGGAGCTGGTCTAAGATGGCTTCAACTGGGTCAACTTTGCTGTGTTCATGTGGTCATTTGCTCCCAAGCAGACTAGGTTAGATTTGTTCTCATGGTAATGGTAGGGTTCCAAAATCAAGCAAAAGGCCTGGGAAATTGGTATGTGGGTAGACTTTCAGCTTAGGCTCAAAACTAGTGCACAGCACTTCTGCCACATTCTACTACTCAGTCCCAAGTCTAGCCAAAATTCAAAGAATGGGGATATAGATTCCACCTCTTAGTGCAAGCAGTTTCAAAGTCACATTTCAAGGGGTATACATACAGAGAGGGGGAGAATTGGGGCCATTTTTGTAATCATTCTACCACACACTGGATCCTTTCCATCACAGAGGGAGCAGTTATTTGTCCTCAAAGGAATAGATACGTATTCTAGATTCAGATTTGACTTCCCTACCTGCAATGTTTCTGCCAGCCCAATCATCCATGGATACCTCATTCATTATCATGGTACTCTGTTTTTTTTTTGAGACAGAGTCTCACTGTGTTGTGAGACTAGAGTGCCATGGCATCAGCCTAGCTCACAGCTACATCAAATTCCTGGGCTCAAGTGATCCTTCTGCCTCAGCCTCCCAAGTAGCTGGGACTACAAGCATGCACCACCATGCCTAGCTAATTTTTTTCTATATATTTTTAGTTGTCTGGCTAATTTCTTTCTATTTTTAGTAAAGATGGGGTCTCGCTTTTGCTCAGGCTGGTCTTGAACTCCTGACCTCAAGCGATCCTCCTACCTAGTCTCCCAAAGTGCTAGGATTACAGACGTGAGCCCTGCTCCCAGCCAGCAATGAGTTTTTAAAAATGATTGCTGGTAGTTTAGATTTGATAGACTATGGTAATAGTAATACTAGTTGCTAACATTTATCGAAAGGCACTGTTTGCTAAATGTTTTTCATTTCCCTTGATACATTTGTATATCTTATGGTCTCTGTGGGCTAGAATGTCTTTCTTTCTTTCTGGAAAAACTCTTTTAAAGCTGGATTTTTTTTTAAAAAAGTCTCCTCTATTTTTAAGAAAGCCTTCTGTGAGGAAATTATGTCTGTTTGAACCACAAAACGTTACACAGTACATTTCCGTTTTCCTGTAATGATCAATTTGGTTGTCTGCCTTCCGAGATTGCAGGACCATGAGGGTAAAGACCATCTTTTATGCATTTTTGGGTCCTCTGTACCTATCACAGCCACAGCCTCCTGCTTTTTCTAAGCATCCCACATTAACTCTTTGTAAAGAACAAAACAATGAACAGCTAGTTTCAAGTAGATTGTAAATGTTGACCTTGAATTTACTAACACTAACTGAAGCACTACACTTTATAGCCTGTAAAGTGCTTCTGCATTATTTCATTCCATTTGTCACATCTGTCATGTTAGGTATTATAAGCACATTTGTAGTTGAGGACATTTTATCAAGTGCCAGAGCTGGAGTCTGAAACTTTGTTAGTTGACTTTTGGTCTCGAGATTATTTCCATTGTACCATAGCCATAGGAATGGTAGCTTCTGTATAACTGGAACGAGGGAGCTTCAAAAGGCACCCCAAAGCACTGGTGAGGTGGCGCATAGCTTGAACAAAATCAACGCTCTGTAAAGCTACAAGCAGCAAACGCTGTGTGCAGCAAAGGATGATGGGACTGTTAGCTCACCCTCTTTCCGTTACTTTGCGAGCCCAAATCTTCGCGCAGTTCCAGGTTTTGCCTCTAGCTCGAGATCGCCCGCCTCTGCCCCTTAACTTGCACTTTCTTCCTCCCTTCACTCGGCTGAGGGCCAGTCTCTCGGCCACTCTGAGACCACTCGCAAGCCTCCAAAGCTCCTATTGGTTCGTCCACCTTTCAGGTCCGTCCCTCCTGCCAGAGGCCCCGCCTCCTCCAAGCCGCACTCCCGTTTTCCGTTCCTCTAGCTCAGGAGGCGACCCCGGCCAAACCGGTTGGTACACAGGAGGGGAAGTCGAGCAGCAGGAAGTGGCCTCTCTTTCCCGAAGCCCCACTGCCTTGTGGGATCGCGGCGGGTTCCTCCAACCTGAACAGGTTTTCTGAATCCCTCCACCCCCCCTCCTTCGTAGAGTACGGAAGCTGAGAGGGCCCGCGAGCAGCCATGGCGGCGCATCTTAAGAAGCGGGTGTATGAGGAATTCTCTAAAGTGGTTCAGGTAAGTTTCGACAGGAAAGGTCCTAGGCCCTGTCTGAGGCAGGAAAAGTTATCCGAACCCCAGGCACCTTGCCAGAACAGGCGTCATAGTCCCGTGTTGAGTGCCGACTAATTGTTAGTCTGAGACTGCACGTTAGTGGGCGTGTTAGCTTGCCGCCGCTACTGTTATTAACTGATATATGTAGTCTGACGTGGTTTAAAAAAATTATTAGAAGAAAAAAATAGTACTTTACAATCTACAAAACTGTTTTATCGGTTATCTCATTTTGTTCTCTCACACAGTCTTGCTAGGTCGGGTTACATTAGCATCCTCTTTTCCACATGTGGACATTGAGCCTTCCGGAGGTGTAGGAGGACACAGCCAGTTAGCAGCAGAGCCGGTCCTAACTCTACTAGTTCCAAGGAAAGCGCCCAGCGACAAGTTGGGCTATAGTATGCAAAGTTCTAAAGGGCTGGAAGAAGGGACTATAGCATTTCTCCAGGCCCAGTCAAAGCAGGCGAGGGTCACAGGCTTCACAGGGGAAGAGCTCTCCGTTGGTGGAACAGCTCACCTAGAAAGGAGAGCAATACCTTCTTCCCATGCTGTTAAGGACAGGTGGGCTGAGCCACTGTCAGAGCAGTCACTAATGCTCCATATTTCTTAAAGTAGATGTCGCTAAAGTAGAGTGTGATCTCAAATTATCCTTTGTCCAACTTCTCAGACATTAATGTATATACAGATCACCTGGGGATCTTTTTCAAATGTAGATTCTATTCAGGGTTGGGTGTGGGTGGTGAGGCAAGATTCTTCATTTCTGACAAGTCCCCAATTCATGCAAATGAATCAGCTACATCCTTAGATTTTTAGACTTGTAGAGTAGCAAGGCTTAGACCCTCCAACAGGAAACTGATCCTTAAACATTATATTTGTACATTCTGAATGCAGCAAGAATTTATTGAATAAATAACTGATTACTGCATACCAGGCATGGTGAAGAGTTTTGAGCTATAAAGTCTAATGCACATTAGGGTTCCTGCCCTGTAGGAGCTCACAAGCTAATGGGAGAACTAGAACTGTGTGTCTGTATATAGTATAGAGAGGTAGTATAGAGAGGTAATATATATCATAGTATAGAGAGGTAATTGCGTTGACAAATCAAGTCTCCCTTCCACCAAACTCCTTAGCCCTCTGTGATCTGACAGTGTTTCTTTCCACCCTTATTGTCATTTCCTTTCTTTCTTTTTTTTTGAGACAGAGTCTCACGTTTTTCCCAGGCTGGAGTGCCATGGCGTCTGCCTAGCTCACAGCAACCTCAAACTCCTGGGCTCAAGCAATCCTTCTGCCTCAGCCTCCCAAGTAGCTGGGACTACAGGAATGTACCACCATGCCCGGCTACTCTTTTCTATATATTTTTAGTTGGCTAATTAATTTCTTTCTATTTATAGTAGAGATGGAGTCTCGCTCTTGCTCAGGCTGGTCTGGAACTCCTGACCTTGAGTGATCCTCCTGCCTCAGCCCTGAGCCACCGCACCCGGCCCATTTCCTTTCTTTTTTTGTTTCGTGAGCACATATTTGTCCCATGCTCCCCTAGTCTGCAGGGAAGTTTGTCTGTTTCTTATTCTTGTTTATTATGGTAGCTTTGATTAACATTTGACCTTGATACCTTTTTTGTTGCTTATTTTTATGTGAAATTTAATCTTACTGACTTTTAGAATGAATCAAGGTTCAGGAAAGTTTTTCTAACATTACAGAGCTCCCTCTTCTATGGCTTGGTTCCTGGAATTTTCTGGCTCTATTTCCCTTGCCCATCTTTTTTTTTTTTTTAAATTGTGGTAAAATATAATATAGAATCTACCATTTTAACAATTTTAAGTGTATATTTCAGTGGCTCACCCCTCTTCCAGCATGCCATCTGTTTGAACATCTCTAGGCTTTTGTACCTGTTATCTGTCTTTTTTTTTCTTTTTTCTTTTTTTTGAGACAGAGTCTCACGTTTTTCCCAGGCTGGAGTGCCATGGCGTCTGCCTAGCTCACAGCAACCTCAAACTCCTGGGCTGAAGCAATCCTGCTGCCTCAGCCTCCCGAGTAGCTGGGACTACAGGCATGTGCCACCATGCCCGGCTAATTTTTTCTATATATATTAGTTGGCCAATTAATTTCTTTCTATTTATAGTTTCGAACTCCTGAGCTCAAACGATCCACCCGCCTCGGCCTCCCAGAGAGCTAGGATTACAGGTGTGAGCCACTGTGCTGGGCCCCTGTTATCTTACATGGAATGCATGTCATTCTTCCCTTTCTTTTTGTTTTCCACTCTGTGTACTTAATGTTTTTGCTTCAAGGCCCAACTGAAACCTCAGCAAAAGCTTAGTCTCTTCTTCGTCTGCTTCCATAGCACTCTTTTGTCCTCAGTTATTTGTACTTTTCATTCATTGCTACTGTAATCACTAGTGTATGCATCTCCCCACCAGTCTGACCTCCTTGAGGGCAGAGATAATGCCTAGTTCATCTCTGTGTCCTGTAGATTGATTATAGGGCCTAGGTCACTAAAAGGTTATTGATGGTTGAATGATAGCTGATATTTGTCCTCTACCTTAACAAAGTCCCTAGGGAAAAAATTCTTCCCCAGCTTTTGACCTAACTGCAACTTAGATGACACTGAAAACTGAAATTTGCATGGAATGGGATGGGAATGAGTACGAATTTTAAGGGAAGAGTTAATTTCTTCACTTTATTTTTTATGAGTACTTACCATATGGTGATTAAATGAGATCTTAGTGCATCTGTTCCTTTTCCTCTGCTGTGAAGTTGTAGGATGGGAGAGAATTGATATGTGTCTAGCACTTATTATTTGTATATTCAATAAAAACATGACTTATATTTTTCAAATATTCTTGTGAAATAGATATTGGTATTCTCTTTTATAGAAGGAGAAGCCTTCTCTGGCTGGTAGGTGGTTATTGAGTACAAATTCCTCTGACTCCAAAGCCCTTATTCTTTTTATCATATCATACTGTCTTCTTGCCTAGAATAATCCTATCTCTTCTCTATGGAAGTATGAATTTGTGAGGTGATTGCCTAGTACACCAAAATGATGTATTAGATATTAAGGAAAATTATTGATTATAATGTTTACCTTCTGTTAGGTTTCTCTTCTATACCTATGCACCATGGCCTAACTTGAGACTTAAAGTAACAGGTTATTCTTTACACAGACTTTTAACATCCAGTTTGTGGAATGAATGCATCTAGAATAGTTCTAGTGATATACTATCCTTCGGAGAGTTGAGGAAATCACTCAAATAGTTTTCTGTGCTCTGTGGCTCATATGGTCCCCTGGTTGAGAAAGACTGGTGGGAAGTGTTATCGTTCCTATTTTATAGGTGCTAAAAGTGAGACTCAGAACAGAGAACAGAGCAGCAGAGTTGGAACTCAAAAATAACTCTTAATTCCAAATCAATCATTCATTCAGTAAACATCTATTAAGTGGCTGGCTACAGTTTGCTAGGCATATGGCATGTGTCTTTGCCTACACTGACCATCCTTCTAATAAACACAGAGTGTTTGGGGTAAAAGATAGTCACCTATAGTAAGGAGAAGATATTTTCTTCAGTGTAAGCTGCAGACAGTTCCCATCAGTCCTAGTTTTCTTTTCTTTTTTTTTTTTTTTGAGACAGAGTCTCGCTTTCTTGCCTAGGCTAGAGTGAGTGCCGTGGCATCAGCCTAGCTCACAGCAACCTCAAACTCCTGGGCTCAAGCGATCCTCCTGCCTCAGCCTCCCGAGTAGCTGGGACTACAGGCACGAGCCACCATGCCCGGCTGATTTTTATATTATATATATCTTAGTTGGCTAATTAATTTCTTTCTATTTTTATGGTAGAGACGGGGTCTCGCTCAGGCTGGTTTTGAACTCGTGACCTTGAGCAATCCGCCCGCCTCAGCCTCCCAGAGTGCTAGGATTACAGGCGTGAGCCACCGCGCCCGGCAGTCCTAGTTTTCTAAGGAGGGAATCTGAGCCTGGTGGGTGACTCAGCCCAATCTCAGTATATTTGTAGATTTGATATTTGTTTTCTAATAAAGAATGGAGTAATTTCTTTCTATGGCTTCTAAACCCCAAAGCTACCACAGTTTTCAGAGATAGGTAGAACAAAATGTTAGTGTACCCATTTTACAGAGAAACAAACTGAGACTTGGAGAAATTTAATGATTTGCCCAGAGTCTTGTAGGAGCTAGTGAAAGGCAAAATTGGGACTCATGACCTTGTCACCAATCCAGTGCTCTTATTCCAATTCATAACACTGCTTTTTTCTAAGTCTAGATCTATTATCTAAACACATTATTTGGTATAAGGGAAATTATTTCCATCAAATGAGGCAAAATTAAATTTGTAGACTGTGTTTTCAGTTAAGTTTTTATGTCTTACCTTCCCTACCCCACTGCAGCAACCACAGGAGGAAATTGCTACTAAGAAACTCCGACTGACAAAACCAAGTAAATCTGCAGCACTCCACATAGATCTGTGTAAAGCTACCTCCCCAGCAGATGCTTTGCAATACCTACTCCAGTTTGCCAGGAAGCCTGTTGAGGCAGAAAGTGTGGAGGGAGTAGTCAGGATTCTCTTGGAACATTATTACAAGGTAAGAAAATCTAATGGGAATCTAATGAGTATCTAATGGGAGTATGTATAAGAGTTGTATTGTGTTTACAGAATGGTTAATATTGCAAATAGATAAGATGTTCATTTGGCAAGCTTTTACTGAGTGTCTTCACTAGGTACTGTGGATGGAGATAAAAAAAAATGCACATCCTGCCCTCAGAAACTGACAGACAGAATACTAACATGTAGAAGACAATAGGTGCATCATATTGCCGAAGGTACTATAAGTGCATGTAAAGAGTGCAGTTGGGCCGGGTGCGGTGGCTCACGCCTGTAATCCTAGCACTCTGGGAGGCCGAGGTGGGAGGATCACTCAAGGTCAGGAGTTCGAAACTAGCCTGAGCAAGAGCGAGACCACGTCTCTACTAAAAATAGAAAGAAGTTAATTGGCCAACTAAAAATACATGGAAAAAATTAGCCAGGCATGGTGGTGCATGCCTGTAGTCCCAGCTGCTTGGGAGGCTGAGACAGAAGGATTGCTTGAGTCCAGGAGTTTGAGGTTGTTGTGAGCTAGGCTGATGGCATGGCACTCTAGCCTGGGCAACAGAGTGAGACTCTGTCTCAAAAAAAAAAAAAAAAAAAAAGAGTGCAGTGGGAGCACAAAAGAGGAGTTGACATCAACCATAACCCTTCTGTAACCAGATTCATCTCTGGAATGTAGTCCCCTTAGCATCCTGCTGTTCCTGTCCTAATTTCTGGCCCTCATATCTAATTGCAATAGCCTTTTTTTTTCAAGCAAAGTGGCATTTATTTCTTTTAAGTATTTTAACGGATTAGATAACACATCAATTCATGCTATGATTAAATAATGTAAACAGAAAATGAAGTCCATAATTTGTGTTTACTTTTCAGTTTATATAGGGGAGATCTGAAGCTAAAGGAAAAATTATTTGAACCACAAATTAATTACATTTTAAAAACACTAGTATGAAATTTTCTTTTTTTTTTTTGGTGTCTCTGGGTGGGCCCAGAGTTGTTTTGTTTTTTTTTTGAGAGAGGTTCTCTCCCTATTCCCCAAGCTAACGCGTGATGTGGCAGGGTCATAGCTTGCTGCAAGCTCAAACTCCTAGCTCAATTGATCTTCCCGCGTCAGCCTCTCAAGGAGCTGGGACTACAGGCTCGTACCACACCACACCCAGCTAATTTATTTTTATTGAGCTTATGGAAAAGCAGAGAAAATACTATAATGAACTATCAAATACCCATTCCTGGGATTTAAGAGTTATCAATATTTTGCCAAATTTGCTGCATGTGTTTTCCTGAAGTTTTTTTAATGTATCGTATCATTTTTCTCTATTTCAGTAATAGCTCTGAAAAAGGGTCATCCTTTTTTTTTTTGACACATTCACCTAACCACATTGAACAAAACTAATTCCTTAATGTCATCTAAGAATTAGCCCATATTGAGATTTCTCTAGTTATTTCCTAGATATCTTATTATAGTCAATGTGTTCCAGAGTGCAAACCAGATTCACACATGACATTTGGTCTTCTTTGAAATCCAGAACGTTTTTAATATTTTGGTTACATTGATCTGACAAAGAAACTGGGTCAGTCGCTTTGTAAAAATGTCTTGTTTTCTGAATTTGTTCACTTCCCTGGGGTTAACTTTCTCCTCTGTCCCCTATATTTACTATAAATTAGAAGTTAATTCTATAGGCTTTGTTAGATTCAGGTGAAACATACTTTTGAGAATTTTAAGACTATGTTATAGATGATGATTTGTACTTCATATTACACCTGTCAGGATGCATATAATGTCATGATGTGTCACTTTACAAAGATTCTTTTTTCCTTCAGTCTCTCTCTCTAAATTTTATTTAAATCTGTTCATTCTATTACCTTTTATGTCTGATATAAGGCTCTCTTCCTTTGTTTTTTTTTTGAGACAGAGTCTCACTTTGTTGCCCAGGCTAGAGTGAGTGCCATGGCATCAACCTGGCTCACAGCAACCTCAATCTCCTGGGCTCAGTGATCCTACTGCCTCAGCCTCCCAAGTAGCTGGGACTACCGGCATGCGCCACCATGCCCGGCTAATTTTTTGTATATATATTTTTAGTTGGTCAATTAATTTCTTTCTATTTTTAGTAGAGACAGGGGTCTCACTCAGGCTGGTTTTGAACTCCTGACCTTGAGCAATCCACCTGCCTAGGCCTCCCAGAGTGCTAGGTCTCTTCCTTTTTTTTTTTGAGACAGAGTCTCACTCTGTTGCCCCTGGGCTAGAGTGCCCTGATGTCAGCCTAGCTCATAGCAACTCCTGGGCTCAAGTGATCCTACTGCCTCAGCCTCACATAAAGGTTCTCTTCTTTATATATATAAAGTTCTAGCTTAATCAAAATGCTTGCAGTTTCCCAGGGACCTTGTTTGTTTTTAGAAATCAGTGTCTTTTCATGTGTTCTTTCCTCTGGCTAGACCCCTTCTCCCTTCCACTGCCCTGTGATCTGGGCATCCATTTTCTCTGCCAAGCATAATCCTTCCTCGGAGTCTTTCTACTTAGGTTTCCTTCTGCCTGGAACACTTCCCTCAGATATTTACTAGTCTACTCCCTCTTGTCATTTAAGTCATTTGAACAAAGGGTTGAACAAAATTTAACTTTGTCCAAATCTTTGTTTAAATGTCACTTTTTCATTGGGATCTTCCTTTGCTCCTCCGTTTTCGTATTGAAACTGCCTATCCCAACCCAGCACTTCCTAGCCCCCTTCATTGACTTTGTTTTCTCCATAGCATTTACTATCCTTTAATATTCTATATAATTTTCTCATTTATCATGTTCCTTGTACTAGAACGTAAGCAGGGGTTTTGGTTTTTTTAATTGATATATCTATAGCACCAAGAATGATGCCTGATAAAATAAATATATGTTGAATGAATGAATACTTTTGGGATGCTTTTTACTCAGTTAACAAATATTTGTTATATATCAGGCATTGTTTTGGGTACTGGACAGTGTCCTGTTAGCATAATTATTAGCTCTTATGTATTGCCAATGTTTGTCATATGTATTAATCTCCTTCAGACTTTGAACTCCTTCATAGATTCAAATCTGTTATTCTTTATCCTAGTCCCTGAAACATTGTAGGGGCTTAATAAATGTTTCACCCATGTGTTACATGAATGAAATCAGGGTTTCTGTTCTCAAGAAGTTCTCAATATCTTAGTGACCTATTTTCATTTAATCTTTTTCTTACCAATATCTACCTTTATTACATATAATAAAACTCTAAGAGCCAGTCAGGATGTCACTTGCCTGTAGTCCCAGCTACTTAGCAGGCTGAGGCAGGAGGATCACTTAAGCCCAGGAGTTCAAGGATGCAGTGAGCTATGATCATGCCACTGTACTCTAGTCTGGGTGACAGAGTGAAACTATGTCTCAGAAACAAACAAAAACCTCCTATATTACCAATAACTATAATAATACTTCTGAGAGTACTTAACATTTATATATTTGTTAGAGGTTATAAGCACTTTCCAAATGTAATATTTTATCTTTACGACAGCACCATTGTTATCTTTCAATTCCAGGTAAGAAAGTAGGCTTAGAGCAATTTAGTATCCAAAGTATCCAAAGTCACTTAGCTAGTAAATAGAAAGTCTGGATTTGAACCTGGGTTTTTGTTTTCTTTGTGAAAACTTTTTGTTATGGAACATTTAAAATAAATACCTATACAAGTATAGAGAATACTTTAATTAATTCCCATGTACCCATTACTTGGCCTCAAAAATGATCATTTATAGCCAAGCTTGTTTTATTTCCTTCCTCCCCCAATCCACTTTCATTTCTTCCACTCTTACCTTCTTCACCAGATTGTTATAAAAACAGATTCTTGGTGTCATATCATTTTATTTGTAAATTTCACTTTATATCTCTAAATGATAAAGGCTTTTTTAAAAAACATGATCATAATACTATTATAATGTCTAAAAGAAAATTGAACTCAGGTGTTCTGATGTCAGATCCCAAGCACTTTTTTTTTTTGAGACAGAGTCTCGCTTTGTTGCCCAGGCTAGAGTGAGTGCGGTGGCATCAGCCTAGCTCACAGCAACCTCAAACTCCTGGGCTCAAGCAATCTTTCTGCCTCAGCTTCCCGAGTAGCTGGGACTACCAGCATACGCCACCATGCCCAGCTACTTTTTTTCTATATATACTAGTTGGCTAATTAATTTCTTCCTATTTATAGTAGAGATGGGGTCTCGCTCTTGCTCAGGCTGGTTTCGAACTCCTGACCTCAAGCAATCTGCTCGCCTCAGCCTCCCAGAGTGTTAGGATTACAGGTGTGAGCCACCGCACCCACCCGGCCGATCCCAAGCGCTTTAACCATGCTGTGCTGCTTGCATTAATCTAGCAGAAGAAATGGGGAGGAATGGTACATGGGTCCAGTTCTAGGTTGGTGATCATAGTGTTTTTTACCCTATCTTCTGTTCTATACAGAAATGTGGTATCTTGTATTTTAGTGGATAAACTACTCTGGTTTCTGCTTTTTCCTCCATTTTTCTGTGGTCAGTAGTATGTGAACTTATTTCACATGAGGGATTCTTCACTTATGCTGTAGTGGTAGTTGCTCTGGAGGATGCAGAACTGTGAGACATATTCCTTGTCCTTTAGGGGCTAGCAGTGTAGTTGGCAAACCAAATATATATGTAGTGTATAGATAGTAAGGGCTAAAGTTACTCATTTGTTCATTTTTTCATTTGCTTAGCATGTCTGAATACTAACTTTGTGCCAGGCCTTGTGCCAGGCCATGTTGGTAATACAGAGGTAAATATAATATGATCCCCAATATGAGTCTTGCTAAGTAGCTAAGACAAGAAATGAATAATAACTATACAATGTTTCAGGTATGAAATCTGGGGCAGATTATAATATGACCTCAAAAAAGGTGATGATCAATTCTACTTAGGAGCAGGGATCCAGAAATGCATTATAGGGTAGTAGCAATGCTTGAGATGCATCTTAAAAGCAGAGTGGCCATTTGGTAAACAGGAAGAAAGAGATTTTAGTTGTGAGCAGTTGTGAGCAAAGGCATGGAGATGTGAAATAGAAGAAATTTAACTATAGTTTGGCTGGTGTAGAGTTTAGGTTGAGATCTCGTTAAGAGATAAGACTGGAAAGATTTGGAAGGAGTCTTATTCTGAAGGGCCTTGTATTCTACCTTGTCAATTTTTGTTTCAGACATGTCACTCTGGGGGAAGTGTGGAGGTTGGAGGAATTGGATGAGGGCAAGAGTGGAGATAGGGTGACCAATTAGGAGACTGATAGGTTGGAGAAAAGTGATGAAAGCCTGAACCAGGATAGTTTTAATGGTGAGATGAGCAGTTATTAGAACTTCCCTGGAGGTAATTTTTTTTTTAGCTTAGGTGTGAAGGGGGTCATTTATGTGTCTCAGTGGAGCAAGGTGCCATGGAATTATTTCAGAAAGTATAAGAGCTTAAATAAAGTATCCAGATGAATAAGGAATGTCACTAGGTTAGATATTCTTTTATCTCCCTTTTTTCTTTTTTTTTAAATTGTGAAGTACATGTAACATACAATTTATTATCCATTTTAAGTGTATAATTCAGTGGTGTTAAGTATGTTCATATTGTGCAACCATCACCACCATCCATCTCTAGAACTCTTTTCATCCCACAAAACTGACTCTACGGCCATTATATAATAACCCTCCATTGCCCCTCCTCCCCATAACCTGGCAACCACCATTCTACTTTTTGTCCCATGATTTTGACTACTCTAAGTACTTCATATAAGTGGAGTCATATAGTATTTGTCTTTTTGTGACTGGTTTATTTCACTTAGCATAATATCTTCTAGCTGTATGTTGTAGGTAGGATATGTCAGAATTTCCTTCGTTTTTAAGACTCAGTAATGTTCCATTGTATGTATATACCACATTTTGCTTATCCATTCATTTGTCAATTGATACTTTGGTTGCTTCCATATTTTGGCTATTGTGAATGATGCTGCTGTGAATATAGGTGTACAAATATTTCTTCAAGACTTTGTTTTCAATTCTTTTGAGTATATACCCAAAAGTGGAATTGCTACATCATATGGTAGTTATATTATTAATTTTCTGAGGAACCACCATATTGTTTTCCACAGCAGCTTCACTAACATTTCTGTCTGAACAGGGGTTCCAATTTCTCCATATCCTTGCTAACATTTGTTTTCTTTTTTCTTGATAGTAGCCATCCTAATGGGTATAAGGTGGAATCTCATCGTAGTTTTTATTTGCATTTCTATCAATATAATGTTTAGTGTTGCTGAGTGTCTTTTCATGTGTTTATTTGGCCATTTGTATATCTTCTTTGGAGAAATGTCAGTTCAAATCCTTTGCTTATTTTTGAATCGGATTGTTTGTTTCTTTTGTTGTTGAGTTTTGGAGCTCTTGATATATTTGGTATTAGTCTTAGATCAATAGCTTACCTTTACAACTTAACTAGAAAAACAACAATCTAGGCCAGGTGTGGTGGCTCAGGCCTGTAATCTTAGCACTCTGGGAGGCTGAGGTGGGCAGATCGTTTGAGCTCAGGAGTTCAAGACCAGCCTAAGCAAGAGTGAGACCCCATTTCCACTAAAAAAATAGAAATTAGCTGAACAACGAAAACATATATATACATATATATGTGTGTGTGTGTGTATATATAAAAGTTAGCCAGGCATGGTGGCAAATGCCTGTAGTCCCAGCTACTCAGAAGGCTGAGGCAGGAGGATCACTTGAGCCCAGGAGTTTGAGGTTGCTGTGAGCTAGGCTGACACCACGGCACTCTAGCCCAGGCAACAGAGTGAGACTCTGTCTCAAAAAAAAAAAAAAAAGAACAACCTAAATCCGAAGTTACCAGAAGGAAGTAAATAGTAAAGATTATAGCACTGATATTTAGAACTACCTACTATATGCCCATTTTTGTGCTAGTTGTTTTCCTCTCAGTAACCTTCTGAGGTTATTAGCCCCATTTCACAGATGAGGCTCAGAAAGGTTAACTCTTCAAGACATATAGCTATTGCATGGTGAACCCAGGCTTCACTTCTAGATCTGGCTAATTTCAAAGCCCTTTCTTTTTTCTGCTGCATCTCATACCTTAAGGTTAAATTCCCAAGAAAATAACTTTGATAAATTATGTGCATGGTAAATGGCATAGTGTACCAGGATTTTAGGTCTTCTTACTCCCTATCTTTTGCTTCTTCCTCCACTTTAGGCCTCCTTGTTGTGCCTTCCTACCTCCTTAAAAACTGTGTGTGGGAGCTGGGGAGTTGGTCATATTTGAAAAGCACCTGATCCTTTCAGGATACATTTAAACAATTTTGTCTTTCGTATAGAAAGATGACCTAATCTCAGCATTGGCAAGGTACATTTTTTTTCGCATTTCACATATATTTATTGACCACATACTTACATTTATATTTATTGATGTTTTTAGTGTCAGGTATTGTGCTACATAATTGATATATGGCAATGAACAAGAGGACATGTTCCTTTTTGTATTTTGGGGCAATTTTTCACCACAGGAATTTGGTGCTAGTTAGAGACCACCTCCCACTATTGAAGCTAAAGTTGCTAGACTCCTTTCTCAGTGTTCCTTGCGTCGGGGACCTAGGCACAAGACGTATACTCAGCCAATTTCACTTGCCTGCCCTAGACTTCTAATCAGGATCTGGTGATTCAAAAAAACAGATAAAGTGAAAGATTCTTTCTGGTGTTAGCAGTGGTAGTTGCAAACTCTTACTTTCCAGGGACTTCAAGAGCAGTAATTCTGGCAGCACTGTTGGGTGCCCAGTGTTGGTGGTGCAAGTTGTTGTGACTCATGCCTAACAAGACTACTCAGTGGAGGCAAATGTACTTTTAATGCCAACAGCACATTTTTGATTAGAAGATAATGACATCTGGAGGGCATGAATAAATTCCCATTCTCCTTGCAGTATTTGGGTATAATATACTGATTGAGAAAAGCTCTCTCCCCTGTAGCATGTAAAGTTAATTTTTCAGAAATGAAGCCTTAGAATACTTGGATTATTGACTCTCTTTTGGAATGTCAGTTTCCCATGTTTCTATTTGTTGGTTAGCTAAAAGTAGAGCATCAAGGTGACAATTGCGTCTTTTGTTCCAGGAGAATGATCCATCTGTGAGACTGAAAATTGCATCATTGTTGGGATTATTATCAAAGACTGCAGGATTTTCACCTGACTGCATTATGGATGATGCCATTAACATCCTGCAGAATGAAAGTAAGTTGCAATTTTTTAATTTTTTCAGATAGTCTCGCTCTGTTGCCCTGGGTAGAGTGCAGTGGTGTCATCATAGCAAGCATACTATAATCTCAAATTCCTGGGCTCAAGTGGTCCTCCTGCCTCAGTCTCCTCTCTACCCCAGCCCTAGTAGCTGGGACTGTAGGTACATGCTATTGTGCCCAGCTTATTGTTCCTATTATATAAATGGGGAACTAAAGCTCTGTAAAGTTAACTAATTTGTTCAAGGTTACATAGTATGTGGTGGAATTGATCCTTTGTTCACTGTGCCTTACTGACTTAGAAACCAGGGGAGGTACTGTCCTATTCACGTGGTCCCATCACCATCCCATAAAAGTGACACCTCCCAGATCTCATATGAATTGTGTTGTTTCTTTTTCTGTTAGCTCTTGGTTGATATCCACTAAAATATATTCTTAGTGTTTAATATTTTGATTATATGGTTTTATGTATATATAAAATTCTGTTATAAAGTTAGTGTTTCAGTTGCCTTACTATTTATTTTAAAATTACAAAAAAGAGGCCGGGCGTGGTGGCTCACGCCTGTAATCCTAGCACTCTGGGAGGCCGAGGCGGGCAGATAGCTCAAGGTCAGGAGTTCGAAACCAGCCTGAGCGAGACCCCGTCTCTACCAAAAATAGAAAGAAATTAATTGACCAACTAAAAATACATATACCAGAAAAAATTAGCTGGACATGGTGGCTCATGCCTGTAGTCCCAGCTACTCGGGAGGCTGAGACAGAAGGATCACGTGAGCCTAGGAGATTGAGGTTGCTGTGAGCTAGGCTGATGCCACGGCACTCACTCTAGCCTGAGCAACAAAATGATTCTCTGTCTCAAAAAAAAAAAAAATTACAAAAAAGAAACCCTTTGTTTCTGTTTCTGAAAATACTGTGATTTTATTTATTTGACAGAATTGGTTGTAGTTTCAAAAAATAGTTTTATTTCATTTTGAGGTATAAATATTTAATATGGCTATTTAAATATTGAATAATATTTAGCCTATAAACTTAAGAGACTATAAGAGTAGTAAAGGTCAGATGAACTCAGGCTATCTAAATTCACATATTGTACAACTGTTTAATGATAAACATCTTACATATGTGGGCCATTGAAGTTGAGAATTTAAAAAATTTTGTTAGAAATAACTGCATATTAAAATTTTACTTGTATTGAATTTTGATGCAAGACTTAATTCACAGGAAGCAATGAAAATCTTTTTTTCTTGGAGGGGAGATCTGTTTTATGGAAGTGCTAATATAATGACATTAAAGAAAATAAAAAATATTCCTACTATCATAAAACAACTTATTTTACATATTACCCTTTACTTATATACATTTTTATATGTTGTGCTTACAGTGAATGTACTATTTTGCTTTTTTTTTTACTATACTCAGTGTTTTACTATACTCAGTTTTACTATACTCAGTGTTACATGGAAACATGCAATTTCTTTCCTTTTTTTTTGAGACAGCATCTCACTCTGTCAGCTGGGCTAGAGTGCAATGGTACGATCATAGCTCACTGCAGCCTCAAACTCCTGGGCTCAAGTGATCCTCTTGGCTCAGCCTCCTGAGTAGCTAGGACTATGTGCCACCACACTTGGCTAATTTTTAAAATTTTTATGGACACAGGGTCTACCTATGTTGTCCAGGCTGATCTTGAACTCCTGGCCTCAAGCAATCCTCCTGCCTTGACCTCTGTAATTGTTAGGATTAGAGGCATGAGCCACCATACCTGGCCTTTTGTTCCATTTTTCTATGTATCTTCATAATATATTTATAGTCTTGATAATATATTAACAACAGATACAGTAACATGTTTCTAATTTTTTGCTCTTGTAGCTGATGGCAAAAACAAGTCCATGTTTTTCTTCTGTCTATTATTCCTCAGGATAAATTCCAGGGCAGAGAATTACTGAGTCAGGGAGTTCAAACATACTAATGATCTTTGCTATGTATTACCATATTGCTTTCCAAAAGGATTATTTCTTCTTATACTACAACTTATAACTGCGTGTGCAGTACTTGTTTCCTCAAGACACATTTTTACTTTATTTTTTTTAAATTTTTTTTTGAGACAGTCTCACTTTGTTGCCCATGCTAGAATGAGTGCCGTGGCATCAGCCTCGCTCACAGCAACCTCAAACTCCTGGGCTCAAGCAATCCTTCTACCTCAGCCTCTCGAGTAGCTGGGACTATAGGCATGCGCCACCATGCCCGGCTAATTTTTTCTATATATATTAGTTGGCCAATTAATTTGTTTCTATTTATAGTAGAGACGGGGTCTCGCTCTTGCTCAGGCTGGTTTTGAACTCCTGACCTTGAGCAATCCGCCCACCTCGGCCTCCCATGAAAGACTTTTTATCAGTGGGGAATGGTAAAGTGTTTTAAAGCCAAAGGGTAGTCTTGTGGAATTTGAATGTTATTTTGTAGGCAGTGGGACCATGTAAAGTTTTTTGAACAAGAGTATGAAATGATCAAGTCTAGTTTTAGAAAGAACTTGGCAGCTCTAAGGAATTTGGTTTGATGATACTGAGGCTTCAGTTGTCCACGTGGAGATATGTGGTCTACAGTCAGTCGGAAACTCAAGAGAGAGACTAGGGTTAAGGATTTAAATTTGATATCTGATTTATCAGAAGCAAGAGTTAAGCCTAAAAAGTTTTAGCTAGCTTTTCATGGATGTTATGTAGAATTATCTTTCTGAGAAAATAAATTAACTGGGTGATATTGGAGATTTTTTCATCTCTCTTCTATTTTCTCTTTGTGGCCTCTTTCATATTGGAGATTTTTCTTGCTTATTCTTAGCTTTTTGATTAAATTTAAGGTGAGGCATTAAAAAGCTGATTAGTAGCCTGTGTGCATGGATGGGGCTTGCCACTGATGGTTTCCACTTAGGGTGATACATGTCTTTGGAGGACATTTGAATGTTAGTATCTTTCAGTGTTTTTTTCCTGGACCCATCAGTTTTTCAAGTTTGAAGTTGATGAATCTCCTATTGGAAGACAGAGAAATGCTCAGCTGCTGTGTTCTTGGAGCCAAAGCAGCTGAAGGCAGGGTAGGGAGAGGGAGAAAGTGTCTCATTATTCAATATGTTGACTATCCCTTAATTTCTTCTTCTTCACTGTATCTCTTCTCTATTTTCACTTGGTGTCCTCAAAATTGCATCCTTTTTGGTCCAATTTCTACACAGAATAAACCTCTTGTTTCAATGGTCACTTGGCTGTGTAGGGATAGGGAAAGGGTTAGGGGTCCAACTGCTTTTTTTTGGTTTGTTTTGTTTTCTGTTTCTTACAAAGATTCAAACAAATTTCTGCCTCATCCCTGTATTTTGTTTTTGTTTTTAGAGTCCAGTTCCTGAACCTTTCTGGTGCATTATGGCTAGAATTTATTTGCTTTGTAGTGATATCCTCCTCAGAAGGCATTTGGTGTTAGATTTCTCAGTTTTGCCAATTTCTTCATCTTTTCGTCTCTGAAAAATTTATTTACTTTTTTCAGCTTTTCACCTTTTTTCTCCTTTCTTGTCTTTTAAACCCTTTTAATTTCTTTACTGTTATGTTAATGAGGTTTTAGGAAAGAACAAAGATAAACAGATGTGTTTAATATACTATGTTTAAGTGGAAGTCTTACTAAGAAGTGATCAATCAGCATTTCCCAAGGTTTAGTCATTCATATATCATGCAGACCAGGTGCAGTGGCTCACACCTTTAATCTCACCACTTTGGGAGGTGGAGACAGGTGGATCACTTGAGGCCAAGAGTTCAAGAACCCCATCTCTACAAAAAAAAAAAATTTTTTTTTAAATTAGCTGGATGTGGTGGTACATGCCTGTAGTCCTAGCTACTCAGGAGGGTGAGGCAGGAGGATTGCTTAAGTGTAGGAGTTTGAGGTTGCAGTTAGCTATGATTGTGCCATTGCACTTAGCCTGGGCAACACAGCAAGACCACCCATCCCTAAAAAAGAAACAAAAACTATAATATATATGCCCTACTAGGGAATTTGGACTTTATTTTGAAGGCAATGAAAACTCTTGAATCAGCCAACCACTGAACATTTTTGGAGCACCTATTATGTGTATAGGATTATGCCCAGTCATTTGGAGGACTAAAACATTTAGATGCAATCCCTTTGGGAACTTAGCTTTTAGTTAAGGGGATGAAGGATCAGTAGAACCCAGCTGACAAAAATCTACATTCTTCACCCAAATAAATTAGTTTCTATAGTGATCTTCTTTTGAAATTCTGCAACCCAACTTTCCATCTTCCTTTCTAGAGTCTCATCAAGTCCTAGCTCAACTGCTGGACACTCTGCTTGCAATTGGCAATAAACTGTCAGAGAATCAAGCTGTCCAGCTGCGATTAGTTGATGTAGCTTGCAAGGTAAGTGTAAGGTGGTCTGCTTTCTTGAACTGTTTCGCATTGTTGGATGGGTGGTAGGAGGTGTAAAATTTGCTCAGGTCCATCCCAAACTTGTAACTGAGGATTACCAAGGACTTTTAGTGGTTTTTAGAGCTGCCTCATTTTTTTCTCTCTTGGTATTGGGTTAGGAATAAAGTTATAAAATGAAATTCCTCATCCAAAAGAAATGAAAAGTTATGGTACACAGCTACTATGTATACTATGCCTAGTATTGCACTCTGCTTATTATGATTCTTTGTATTTTGCTTTTCATTTGGTCTTCACAATCCTTTAGGTAAATACTGTTAGCCCTGTTTTTTTTATGTTTTTTTAATTTAATTTATTTAAAAAAAAAGTGAGTTTAAAGTAAATGGATTTTTTTAAAAACGGGCAACAGTCTGAAAAAGTAAAGTTTAATTAAAAAATCATATACACAAAACAACTTCTGATTCATTTTAAGCTCTCCCACTGGGTCTTTCACAGGCAAGTCAGTTTCCCACTGAGTCCAGACCAGCTAAAGATGCACCCACAGAAGAAAGGGGATCTTTAATAGGTGTTCTCCTTAATAGGTGAACAACAGCATCTGTTACTTGACCAGTGTCCATGACCTGAGTGACTAGGCATCAAGGCTGGCTTCCCTCCTAGTTGAGAAGGCCAGTTTCTTCATCAGCAGATAAACTCTGGAATCCACCTCAAATCCATGCAGGTTGTTGGCATCACCCTGCAGCCTCATGAGCAGGCCCCCATAGGACACGTAGGCAGAGAGGCGTGTTGCTGCTTCAGTAGAAGTTTCGTCTCCCTCAATCCTGTACACTTTCCCATACATTACATACTCAAATTGGTCAGCCCTGGAAGGCCTGTCATCAGTGGGGTTGTATTCACCATCATCCAGGGTACCATCTTC